TACTACAACTAAAACATCCTGATATATCAATTTCTTAATTTACTTTTTCATGATTTATTCGTCCAAATTAATCAAGTGAAAGTCTGTGTCTTTTCTTGAACGACTTCAGACAATCCGTTTCTCCATGCATAACTTTTACCCTTCTCAAGTTAGTTGGCGTATTCTCCAACAACTCTGAATCTAATTACTCCAGTCTCATCTCCGGCCAAACCTTCAGCAACAATCAAAGTTGATCCGTCATATCTTTTGATTTATTCTTTCTTGATTTCTTCAATCTAGGATTTAGATATTTGAGTCTTACTTTGATGTAGGTATTATGCCTTAAAAAAGGAGACATCTTTATTGAAAAGGAATATTAATGATATTAGACAATCAATAATTAAATAATGATAGTCAGCACTATATTGTGTAATCTCTAAATAACATTTAATAACACATTCAATTTCTTAATTTGTATTCCTTCTATTTAACCTAATAAAAATTTAAAAAGATCCCAATACTTCCATCAAGCACAATAGTTAACAGCATTTCTAGTTCGCTCTCAAAAACTGACAACTCAGCATATCTCATGAATTGTGAGTCCTAGTTGCAGTATCTCAAGTCCAAAAATTACAGTAAATAAGTATTAAAATTAATTGACATCAGATGCCAATTTATAAAACATTAATTTGTATCACAATAGTTTGTCCACCAATGAGTTGAAATCCTTTCACAATAACCTCACTTACCTAATAATTTCAATTAGATATATTAATTTTTGGTTTTCGAATGTTAGTTGTTGATGATAGTATCACTATTATCATAAATTGATTATGAATATTGATAAAGATTGTCAAATATTGCAGCAAGAGGCCTCAAAACTTAACATTCAGAACCAAAAGCAATAATATGAGACAAAGAGGTATTGTAAATGCTTTGATAACGTATACCACTTCATCAACTTAAAGTATTATACAACAGTAATATGAAGTAGGGCAATGAATTCTAAACATGACTCCGAGCATGTTGAATTACATTCAGATATCTTTATGTCTGATATCCTGTGTGAGTAAGAGAAAAATTGAATCCTTTATGTACAGAGACGTAAAAAAAAGTTGAAACAATCAGCATTAGGGATGGTATTTTTACTTCAAAGTAGTTTATAGTTTACTTTTTATGTCGCCTATTTAAGATAGGTTGCAAGCAAATTATTGTAGTAAATCGTAGTTGCAACTCAAGCATAGTTGAGTCAGTCTTGTATGAAATATCAAGCTGTACAGCACCACGAAAGAAGAAGCCACTTATGCATAATGTGGAAATAGAAGTTTAATGCAACTCCATTAATGTTACCTGTAGAGAAAAGCAAGGAGAGATGTGTATAGTATTACCGAAGAGGTAGCAAGAGCACATAAGGGACTCTATTATCAATTACAAGAGTTGTGCTAAAGAAAGAGCCAAGGTCTATATGAATTTAAATTATCTAATCCATATTCCATCATATAAGGTAATATTTTCAGGAAGTGAATTCTAGGTAGATTTGAAAGTTAAACATACTTTGCATTTATATCAAGCATGTCAGTAAGAAAGTCATTCGGTTAATAAAGTATCAGCAAAACAATTTTGACAGCCAGAAATAGTGAATTAACACTAACAGGATTTATTATTGAAATTTAGACAGAATTTGAAAACCATCCACACCCAAAACAAATGTCCAATAATCAACGAATTCTGAAAAGTGTTTCAAGGACAGCCGATACATCTAAGAATTGAAAATGCTATATTAATTGATAGCATTAATTAATGAGATCAGTAAACTCAGCTGAAAATTAATGAGAGGGTGGTGGACTGAATTAGTAATGGCAATTAGAAAATGAATTAAAATGATGGCAATTACATAAGACTTAAAGTGCACTCATTTAATCTGAGCAAGTTAAGAATCTTTTTACACATGCCCTTATATAAATTAGGAGGTAGAAGCCGATTCATTTGTAATAATTGGACTAACAGAATTGCTTTTACAATAATATCAACTAATAGATTTGCTTCTACAATAATATTAACTAACTAACCCTTAGTTAGTATTAATTGCTAAACCTTAATACAAAATGGTAAATATACAGAGCTTT